GAATGCAGATGAACTTCCAGATCGTGTGTCCTATTGTGAGTGCAGAGTCCACATCCTGATTAATATGGTTAGTAAGTTAAGTCGTGACAGGTATATTTGGACAGGTTACCAAATGAAGGTTAAGGATATTCATTTGTTGTTGTTGTTAGCTGCCTTGAGTCAGCTCTGACTCATGGTGACCTTATGTGTAACAGAGTAAAACATCGCTCAGTCCTGTGCCATCTTCATGACAGTTGGTATGTCTGAATCAATTATTGTGGCTATAAGGATATTCATTAGACATAGGTTATGTGGTTTTCAGACTGGCATTTGGCAAGGTCGCTGCTGCCCATATTGACCTCATGGAAACACATGCTATGTGATATTTGGAGAACATCTCTGGCCAAATGACACTCATTAATAGACTGATGTCAAACTGGAAGATGTCAGGTGGCTGATGGAGGACTCATATCTCAGTACTATTCTCCTGGGTAATTTTTCACATCTTGAACGAAGGTGCAGAGGTCAGATTCAGATTTTAAAGCCCCAAAAAATTCTGGAGCAAAATATAGTTTAGTGAAGACCAAAAGCACAAGATGGTGGAAGATGTGGCTTCTAGGTAGCACTTAAAGAAAGTTTCACATAACTTAAAAAAAAACAAATCCTTTGCTGTCAAGCTGATTTTGACTCATGGTGGCCCCATGTGTTACAGAAAGCAGATCACCAGGACTTTCTTCCATGACACCTCTGGATGGGTTTGAACCACCAACCTTTTAGATCAGCAGTCAAGCACAAGCTGTTTGTGTTACCCAGGGCCCACTTAACAAGAGACATTTCACAAGTCAGAGTACACTGAAGGCATTAGGTACAGTTCTTAAGACGAAGGAACTTAAATAAATTGAAAGATACTGAAAGCATAGTGGCCAGGAAGGTTGCAAAACTCAAAACCACATCATGTGGTTATATTGTTTTAAAGACAAATGCTCCAGGCTTGGAGAAGAGAAGACTCATATCAGACAAGGCAAATGGCACTCAGTATTTGTAGGATTAAACTTTTTCTCTATAATGGTGGGATTAAAGACGTGGGTTCATGATATAGGGAGACATTTCAGCATGTAAGTAATGAGTAACTTTAAATGTCAGAGCTGTCATCAGATGAGCTAGTGGATGATTACTTGGAAAGGTTTTTCCAGTATCAATGAGTATCTTCAAACACTGAGATCCTGTGCTTTCCGTGCTCTTCAAATATTCCGCATCGTATCATTGTCACCTGCACTCTTATATGGGGCTCTGATATTGGAAATTATTCCTTCTTTGTGATTAAGATAGTTTTTCTCATCTGCGGCAGAGTTTACCCAGAGTTTACATGGCATATTGGATTTAACAGGTGAGAGATGGAGCTCACAAATGCCATATGCAAATTTGCTCCAAATGAGCTCTAAATATGGGTTTGGAGCTAATTGTTCTGGCGCTTAATTCAGTGGATATGAAGCATTGGCCAAACATATTTCAAAGCAAGGAAAAAGACATTTTAGCTTTGTACCCAGGAAAATGTGTTGTAGCATGCAAGTAATGGGGAAAGGAGGATGTTCAATCAGAGGCCCCAAGGGAGAAAATAATATGTTGGCAGAACCATTATTTGGAAATAATAGAACTATGAAAATAATTATAGCACTGAATTCCTAGTATTGCCATTTTAAAAAATAAGCCTTTATTATTTAGGTATAATGTATGTACAGAAAAACAAACAAAGTATAAGAGTACAGACTGGATGAATTATCAAAAAGTGAATACAATTGTGCAACCACCACCCAGCTCAAGAGATAGCACGGAAGTCCCACTTTTGACTTCTTCCTGTCACTGCCCCCTACTCCTCTCAAGTGGTAACCACTAGTCTCGCTTATAATGCCTGTCTTAGTCATCTAGTGCTGCTATAGCAGAAATACCACAAGTGGATGCCTTTAACAAAGAGAAGTTTATTTTCTCACAGTGTAGTAGGCTAGAAGTCCAAATTCAGGGTGTCAACTCCAAGGGAAGGCTTTCTCTCTCTGTCGGCCTTCTCATCAATCTTCCCCGAGACTAGGAGTTCTCCACTCATGAACACTAGGTCCAAAGGATGCGCTCTGCTCCCAGCACTGCTTTCTTGGTGGTATGAGGTCCCCCTGTCTTTCTGCTCGCTTCTGTCTTTTATATCTCAAGAAATTGCCTCAAGACACAACCCAGTCTTGTAGATTGAGTCCTGCCTTACTAACACAACTGTCACCCATCCTCCCTCATTAACATCAGAGAGGCAGGATTTACAACATACAGGAAAACCACACAATACTGGAAATCATGGCCCAGCCAAGTTGATACACACATTTCTTGGGGGACATAATTCAATACATGACAATGCCGTAGATCAATTTTGCCTGTACTTAAATTTTATATAAATGTAATCACATAGTGAATTCTTTTGTGTCTAGCTTCTTTTGCTCAATACCATTTCTGTGAAATTCATCCATGTTTTTGCATGTAGCATTATTTCATCCATTTCCATTGTTGTAGAGCAATTGTACACATTCCTAATTTTTTTTTTTCCTTTGTAATCCAGTCTATTGTTGATGGACATTTAGAATGCTTCTAGTTTGGGACTATTATACATACTGTTGTTATAAACATTCTTGTGAGTTTTTGGGTACACATAGATATGCATTTTCTGTTGGGTAGATATTGAGAAATGGAATTGCTAGATCATGAGATATGTGTATCTCCAGTTTTAGAAGCAAAGCTTTCTTATACCACTTCTCCACTGCCTCTAGCAGTGTATGAAAATTCTGCTTGCTCCAGAGCCTCCCCAACATTTGGCATTGTAAGTCTTTTTTAATTTTAGCCATCTGGTGAGTATTTAGTGGTATTCCATTGCAGTTTTTATTTGTATTTCCCAAATGACTAATAAGATTGAGTAATACTAACTTGGGCTTTTAAAAGTATAATCAATCTAGGCCATTCCAATTTGATGTTCCCGTTATTATTATTTTCATTATTGTGGTAAAAATATGCACAATGAAACATATGCCAGTTCAACAATTTCTACATATATAATTCAATGACTTTGATTACATTCTTCCAGTTGTGCAACCATTGTCGTTACGCTTTACCAAATTATTCCACTACCGTTAACATAACTCAACGCCCTCTAAGCAAAATCTCCCTCTTTCGGGCTGTGGGACCATGGTCTCGGGGAACATTTAGCTCAATTGGCATGACACAGCTTATAAAGACAATGCTCTACATTCTACCTTGGTGAGTAGTGTCTGGGGTCTTAAAAGCCTGTGAGCGGCCATCTAAGATACTCCACTCGTCTCATCCTTTCGGGAGCAAGGGAGAATGAAGAGAACAGGATACAATGAAAAGATTAGTCCGAAGGACTAATGGTCCACAGCTACCAAGGCCTCCACCGGACTGAGTCCAGTACAGCTAGATGGTGCCTGGCTACCACCACTGACTGCTCTGACAAGGACTACAACAGAGGGTTCTGGACAGAGCTGGAGAAGGATGTAGAGCATAATTCTAACTCACAAAAAAAAGACCAGATTTACTGGCCTAAAGGAGACTGGAGAAACCCCGAGGGTATTGCCCCCAGACACCCTTTTAGCTCAGTGGTGAAGTTACCTCCGAGGTTCACCATTCAGCCTGGGAGTGGACAGCCCCGTAAAACCAAATGAGACTAACGAGGTACAGGAGCCCAGTGACAAGGGCCAGAAGGCAGAAGGGGATAAGGAAGCTGGGGATAGGGAATCCAAGTTTGAGTAAGGATATTGTTGATGTGTTGTGAGATTGTTAACCATTGTCATAGGGCAACATTTGTAGTCATTGTTAAATGAGAAACTATTTTGTTCTGTAAGCCTTCATCTTAAGTGAGAATAACAGCACAATTGGAAGAGTGTAGTCAATGTCACTGAACTGTGCATGTAGAAAGTTTTGAAATGGTGTATCTTTGGCTATGTGTATTTCACCAAAAAAAAAGGTTGAGAAGTTAGAGGGTTGACATGTTGTGGGGTTGTTAAGCAATGTCATAAAACAATATGTGTATTACTGTTTCATGAGAAACTATTTGTTCTGTAAGCCTTCACCTGAAGCACAATAAAAAAAAAAATTTTTAAAAAAACCAAACAAACACCCTCTTTCCCCATCTCTCTCACCCGTGGTAACCACTAACAATTTTAATTTCTATGTATTTGCTTATTTCATATAAGTGAGATCATACAGCTTTTGTCCATTTGCAGCTGACTCGGCATGGTGTTTTCAAGGTATATCCACGTTGTGGCATGCGTCAGGACTTCATTTTCTTTATGACTGCGTAATATTCCATTGTATGTATATACCACATTTTGCTTATCCATTCATGTCTTGATGACCATTTCGATTGTTTCTGCATTTTAGCTATTGAGAAAAGTGCTGCAATGTATTATTTTTTTAAATGTAGAAATGTCAAAAAAGGTATATTTGGTATGTTGATAGTTAAAAAATTAGCATTTTAACTCACAAAATTTCTATAAAATATGATTGTGTAATTTATAAGATAATCTTAACACTATAGAATATAAGTCTATATTGTTGTCTTGAAATGGTATGCAAGTTAGAACAATTTGAGGAATGTACGTTTCTTTCCCTACTCTCAGTGTCTCTCTGTAAGTGTGTATATAATTTCTTTTGGGGATAAATGTTAACAGTCTAAAAAGCTGAGACTATGACAAATGCACTCTCCTCCGCTGCTGCTTTAATAGAATTCTGCCTCTAAAAATATCCTCTTTCCAATTCTAATTAAAAGAGTTGTGCATAGCACCACGTTTTAGTCCCTGTTATATCTCAGTAACAGATCTAATCACTAAAATGCAGAAACGTTCTCTTTTTGTTTTTGATGTCACTCTTTTTCCCTTCTTCTCCAAAATTCAGTTTGAATGAAAAAAAAAAAAATGTAGAGAGACTCTTCTAAGTAGTCATATGACTTTAATGAATATTTCTTGACAGTTGATCTTCCAGTGATTTTGCAACTTGGACTGTTCATCTTTGAGCACTTGTTTTTTCCATGCTAGTGTGTTTGAAATCATTTTGAGGTTTTGTGGTTGCTGTGGATACCCTGAGGAACTTAAAACATTTTAGCTTGCTTTTGCTTGGTGAGCCCTCTGTGGCCTTTTTGGATGGAAGCAGAACATGTAAGTGCCACAGCAGTCCTGATCTGACAAGAGGATCATTTTTGGATGTCAGGCAGGCAGTCCATCTCTCCAACTCCTTGCTGAGAAATCTGGCATTTCAAGGTAAGTGCAAAAGGCTTGGGGTTGGTGTACGTAAATGAAAGTTCAGCATAAAGAAGGCAGGCCATTGACAGAGACTAGAGAAACCCCGAGAGTACGGCCCCCGCCCACCCTTTTAGCTCAGTAATGAAGTCACTCCCGAGGTTCACCATTCAGCCAAAGATTAGACAGCCCCTTAAAACACAACGAGACTAATGGGGCACAACAGTCCAGGGACAAGGACTAGAAGGCAGGAGGGGACAGGAAAGCTGGTAATAGGGAACCTAAAGTTGAAAAGGGACAGTGTTGACATGTCGTGGGGTTGTTAACCACTGTCATAAAACAATATGTGTACTGACTGTTTAATGAGAAACTATTTGTTCTGTAAACCGTCCTCTAAAGTCCAATAAAAAAATTAAAAAAAAAAAAAAAAAAGAAAGAAAGCAGGCCAAACATGACTTTACGGTTCTAATCGAGAACCTTCAGAGTCTTACTATAAAAAACAGGTTTATCCACTTTGGCCACAACTGCTCTTTTTACAGAAAGAATTGTTGTATTCTTCCTGTGTAGACACATTGAAGATGAAACCCAGTTTATAAGTGATTATAGTCAGGAGCCCTAGTGGTGCAGTGGTTAAGAGCTTGGCTGCTGACCAAAAGGTTGGCAGTTCAAATCCACCAGCTGCAGCCTGGAAACCCTATGGAGCAGTTCTACTCTGTCCTACAGGATCAATATGCGATGGAATGGACTTGATGACTGGGTTTTGTTTGTTTGTTTTTGTAATATAGACAAAAAACGGTTTCAGAATCTTTCACGGAACAGACTCTGGGTAAAAACATTGTAAAGGTCTCTAGGTGACCTGCTATTACATTTGCATATTATTGAAATGCTTATCTTTCAAGTGATGCTTTAATTTGCTTTCCATTATGAACATCTTTAAAATCTATTACTGGTAATGTTGTCATATGTAATTTGAAACCATTCTTTCAGCCCTAATCAATAGGAGGAAAAAAAAAAATCAATTGCAATCAGGTACTTTGAAACTTTTAAAAGAAATATATTTAAAATAACAAGTAAAACAATGTTTATAATAAATCTCTTCATTCCATTTAGAAGTATTATAGGGCAGCTGCAATCTAAAAATAACTTTAAAAATCACCTAAGAAAAAGTTAAGAACATTTGTTCAAATCAAAATTTTAAGTGAAATTTTTTCTATATTATTATTTCCTATTTTCAAGAAGTAGTGCATTTCCTGTAAGTGGAGTGGAATATATTGCCAAGTTTTAAAAAATAAGTCAGTAATCCACGACTTCAGTTTGAGAGTTTATATCCTTAACTTCTCTAACAAATCTGTGATCTTGGATGGGTCACTTGATTCTCTAGACTTCAGTTTCCTGCGCAATCAGATACTTACTTACCCAAGAAATTACTTATTAAGTATTCCAGATTTGTTGTTAGGTGCCATAGGGTCACTTCAGACTCATAGCAACCCTATATACAACAGAACAAAACTGCCCGGTCCTGTGCCATCCTCACAATCCTTCTTATGCTTGAGCCCATTGTTGCAGTCACTGTGTCAATCCATCTCATTGAGGGTCTTCCACTTTTTTGCTGGCCTTCTACTTTACCAAGCATAATGTCCTCCAGGGACTGGTTCCTCCTGATACCATGTCCAAAGTACGTGAAATGAAGTCTTGCCATCCTTGCTTCTAAGGAGTATTTTGGCTGTACTTCTTCCAAGACAGACTTGTTGGTTCTTCTGGCATTCCATGGTATATTCAATATTCTTCCCCAACACCATAATTCAAAGGCGTCAATTCTTCTTCAGTCTTCCTTATTCATTGTCCAGCTTTCACATACATATGAGTCAACTGAAAATACCATGGCTTGGGTCAGGCGTACCTTAGTCCTCAAAGTGACATCTTGGCTTTTTAACACTTGAAAAGAGGTCTTTTGCAGCAGATTTGCCCAATGTAATGCGTCATTTCATTTGACTGCTGCTTCCATGGGCATTGATTGTGTGTGGATGCAAGTAAAATGAAATCCTTGACAACTTCAATATTTTATCTGCTTATCATGATGTTGATTACTCCGTCCTGGTGTGAGGATTTTTGTTTTCTTTATGTTGAGGTATAATCCATACTGAAGGCTATAGTCTTTGATCTTCATCAGCAAGTGCTTCAAGTCCTCTTCGCTTTCAGCAAGCAAAGTTGTTTTATCTGCATATTGCAGATTAGTAATTAGTCTTCCTTCAATCCTGACTTACATGCTCCAACTTCAGGTTTATAACTCCTTTTTTTTAAAAAACAAATGTGTTTAAATCAATCAATATTTTTATCAATCAATATGAGTAATGGGAAGACCAATGGATTAGGAATCAGGTGGCATGAGAACTAATCCTTTGTTTTCTAATAAGTGGATGAGTGATTTGGTAAATATTATCTAATCATTGTAAGCCAGGAGTTGGTAAACTGTTTTTATAAAGGACCAGATAGTGAATATTTTCTGCTTTGCAGGCCAAGAGACAAAATCAAGGATGATATGTAGTTACTTACATAGCCATTTAATGTGTAACTATTTAAAAATGTAAAAACCATTCTTAGCTCTCAGGGCATATGAATATAGAAGGTGAGCCAGACTTGGCCTATGGACCACAGTTTGCCAGCCCGTGTTCTAGGCAATGATTTTTAACTATTATAATGTGAAAGCGGTAGTCTAGATCAGAGGTGCTTAACCTGAAATCAAGGGGGCCCTAAGGGAGTTCATGGATGGTCTTAAGGGTGATCCATCAAGCCTCTGCAATTGCATACAGAATTTTGAGGGTATGTGAATATGGGCTTTTTTTTTTTTTTTTACCTGGGAGAAAACTTCCATAGATTTCATCACTTTTTCGAAGTGGTCCAAAACCCAATTAATTTAAGAACCACTGGACTAGCTAATCTCTAAAATGGTTTCCAAATCCAGAATTCAATGAACCTATGAAATGTTTATTGAATGCCTACTATAGGGTCGTTATGAGTTGGAATCAACTCAACGACAATGTGTTACTATGTATAGGACATTGTGCTAGCATTACAAGAGATGTAGCACATAATGACTAAAATAATATTTCAAAAGTATTTTAAACAAATGTAAAATGAATATGCAAAAATTAGTGATCTCCTTCAAAGTAACCTTGGGAACAATTCTGTCACCAGTCAAATACTCCTGAGATACTTCTTTGTATGATATCTTCAAAGCTAGTTCATGAATTATATCAAGTTATTTGTCAAACTTTCGTATTGCCCACCTTGTTTTAAAATGACAATGGTATTATTCATGATAACCATGAAGAAAGTGAATCTAAGAAAGGTTTGTTTCTTTCCTAAGAGCAGGAGCTATGCCTTTCCACCTTTGCATCTAGAATAATGTTTGGCACATCTCTGGAATGAATATATGGATGAATGAATAAATGAATAAAAAGTTGAGGACATCATCCTTGAGATTATGTATCACAGATGCTGAAGGCTTTGAACCCCAAATGCTCTAAGACCAGTGACTGCTAAGTCCTATGATTGCTTCTCTTTTCAACCTGAATGTAACTGTGATTTCAAATACTTGGCCAACTAAAGATTGCAGTTTCTGGGGATTAAGTCACTTTTTAAACACATAAAAAGTGTTGAATTTAATTCACTTGTGAGAGAAGTACTTCTTTAAAGTTGCCAGTAACCTACTCTCTGGGATGGGGTCACTGGAGAGTGGAGTTTTGTTAATGAACAGCAAGCAATACTCTCAGCATTTGAGCTCTTCCTACCCTGAGAGAGGATAGGAGGTTGTACCAACTGGAATATTACTCACCAACAGGAGATAATTCTTGGCAAGCCAAATAGAATTCAGGACACCTCTTCGCTCCCTAATGAAGAAGTTCAGGATTGATTTCCATTGGCTGCCCAGTGGTTGATGCCAAGTCTGGCTCTGTTTGCCGGAGTTTCTCCACAGCCACATGGGCAGAGCAGTGACTTGTGATCTATGTAAATGTATTTTTCTTCTCGCTCTAGGAATGATTCATTTAAAAAAAAAAAAAAGAAATTCAGTCTGTAATAGTTCATTTATGACTTCCAGGGCTTTTCCTCATTCACTTTTCAAGGGAAATTTTAATTGTAAGATTTTAAGATTTTGAGAAATTTTAATGAAAACGCTGCACAGCTCTATGTGTATACATCTGGTGTTACGCCTGAAACATCCTTACTCAACAGTGTATCCCACTCCCCTCCCCTCACTCTCCCTCCATCTCAGAAGTTCCAAGGGAAATCGTAACATATTATTTACTCTGGTATGTAATTATAGATTGAGCCTGTGCAGTATCGCTCTACGTTTAATAGCACCAATTACTCAACAGTTTTGTAGTTGTGCTGAGGACATATTCCTTGATCTCAAGTTCTCCATTTTCCTTAAAATCTCCTTAAGATTAGCCCCAGCTGTAGTCCAAAGACCAAAAGCTTCATAAATGGGACCCCAAATAAATAACCTAAATATACCTTATGGTCCAAGGTCTCACTTGGATGCCAAAAATCTTAGTCCCCTCCCCAGGGATTTTTGAGTCTCCCGGGGCAGTGTTGACATGGTCTACCAATCCCAACAGTTAGGGGGTTCCCCTCAATTCTGACTGCTGCCCCAAACTCTGCCGATTTCCTCTGTAGCCCCTGGTGGTCTTTACCCTAAAATGTGGACGGAGTCCCTCCTTTTCCCCCTCAAACACAATTTACCGAAATCTATGACATTTAGTTAATTATGCAGTGCTTGGCTGACAAACTTTTCTTAAAGGACAACACAATAAATATTTTAGGTTTTGTGGGCCAAATCATCTCTTTTGTAACCCCTCAGCTCTATAATTGTAGAGCTGAGCAATTAAAGACAATACATAAAAGAATAGGTGTGTCTGTGTTCTGATGAAAACTTACAAAAACATGTGGTCAGCCTGGGGGCCATAGTTTGCTAACTCCTGAACTATATTTCAGGTTTGATGGCCACTTAAGTTAATTAC